GTTAATTTAGCTCATGGGTTCGTCTAAGACATGGGTTGGTGTGGCTCATGGGGTTAAATGACGTTCAAGCAAAAAAAAACATGGGCTGAATGGATAGGCTGGCGCTGGGTTGCATGGGTTATGTTTTATGTATTTTTTGGACGCTTCTCTGCCTATCTCTCGGCTTCCGCTAACGCATCTGGTATTTTTTTTCTACTAAAGGGATAAGGAGACTAAATTTGACTGAATGAAGTCGGCCGATATTAACTTCCCTTGGGTTTATCGGTAAATGGATACCCTGTATTAAATCTTTCTCTCTCTCTCTCTCTCTCTCTCTCTCTCTCTCTCTCTCTCTCTCTCTCTCTCTCTCTCTCTCTCTCTCTCTCTCATTTACTTACTACCTATCTCTTTCTTTCTCTCTCATTATCTCCCTTTCTCTCCCTCCCTTTCTCTTTTTTTGTTCTTTTTCATCATCCTGTTCTCCTTTCCTGCACCCCCCCCCCCGTCTCTTCAATCAATTTCGCTCCCCCGCCAATAATTAAACATTTTCCCTGGTTCCTTAAAAATGCTAGAATCTCCTGTTCTTCTCCTCTCGTGCCAAACGTGCCAATTTTTTTAAACTAAAAAATGCCAAAAACTGTTATTTTTTTCCCTACAGTAACAAAAGTCCTTTATTTTTCCCCCTGTATATGGCGAGCGCTCTACTTTTCTGTCAAAATGGCTGCATTTCTTTTCCTAAGTGAATTGGGTTTGACTTATTTTTTCCTATGATGTCAAAATAGCTTTAGTTTCTTCCCTTATGCTGTCAAGAGCGTTTACATTTTTCCGGGTTAAGAAAATTGCTTTATTTTCCCCTATGGTAACTAGGACGCATCAATTTTATCCTCTGTGGTGAATAAACCGTTTTGTTTTTTCACTTGTGGTTGAAAAGATACTTTTTTTTAGCTATGGAGGAGAAACCGCTTTGCTTTTTTCTCCTGTGGCGAAGAATGCGCTTTATTTGTACTCTTTAGTGAAGAAAACGGTCTAGTTTCTCCCCCGCGGTGTAAAGAACACTTTACTCCTTACTCTGCGGTGACGATAACGCTCAGGTTTTCCCTATGGTAGATAGAAATCACTACGTATTTTCAACAGTGTCAAAAGGACTTTATTTTCCTTTTAGTGGCACGAAGCATAGTCCATTTTCCTGGCGTGCAGCGGTTTCCCGTTCTTTAATTCTTTATCGATAGGCCCACGGAAAGTTTTCTAAATTCTTGACGTCCTATCAAACCGACATACCATTAGCGACAATCTCATCTTGCGTTTAATCTTTACAACGCCGCAGGAGTAGTGATGATAAGTTTTATTTCCTTAATTTGGAATTATCATTTGGAGTCGCGCGCCTTGGGTCGAGAACCATTTTAAAGTGGTTGTTTGTCTCTTTCTTTTTGTATTTTTCCTTATTTCTTTCGTCTAGAGTGATTTTTTTTCCTCGTTTTAGTATTAGCAATTCGTTTTTTTAAATCCCCTTTTTACTTTTAGATATATTTTTTTTCTTCGTATTTCCATTGTTCTTATACCTGTCGTTTTTTTTCTCCCTCTCTCGCGCCATTTTCTTCTTCAAAAATTGAGATCAATACTAAATTTGTTTTCCGAGAGACTCATCAGATTAGCCTTGTAATTGTGAAGAAGATTACGGCCAGATCATCATTCGTGTATCTTATCTGCGTGAATCTTATTGGGATAAATTAGGTAGGTCTAGAAGGAGATGGAAGGTAATTGATCTTGAATAAGAGGTCTTGGGGAATCGCCGTTTTCTGTTTCGGATTTACTTCAAGTACATGGTTTCTGATTTGAGGATGGGAGGTTGGGGGTTTGAGAGGATGTCTTCTTCCTGTCATTCCTCTTTATATATATCTAAAATGCACGCATGCACGCACGCACACGAACGCACGCACCACGCACACACGAACGCACGCACCACGCACATACACACGCACACATACACACACACACACACACACACACACACACACACACACACACCCACCCACACCCACACACGCACACACACACACACACACACACACACACACACACACACACACACACACACACACACACACACACACACACACACACACACACACACACACACACACACACACACACACACACACACACACACACACACACACACACACACACACACACACACACACACACACACACACACACACACACACACACACACACACACACACACACACACACACACACACACACACACACACACACACACACACACACACACACACACACACACACACACACACACACACACACACAGACGTGTATGTGCGTATGACGGTTTACGGTGAAAAGATAAAAGACAGATAAGAAGTTGTAGCTCTCAGCTATCATACATACCCCTCCGAATCTGTCAGTCAGACATGGAGGTCTCACTTGTACCTCCTCGGAACAGCTTTCTACAGCCACGAGTTTAATTTTGTAAGCTTTCGTAAAAGGTAAATGGTACTAGGCGTTTTAGAAAAGGTGTGTCTGTTTTATTGGTCTTTTTTTTGGTCTGGTTTAAGGTAATTGTTGGTTCATGTTGGTAGTAGGAGTCAATAAAAAAAAAAAATTATATATATATTTTTAACGAAAGTTTTTAGGGGGTCGTTTTTTTTTTTTAGCTAATTTTTTTTTTTTTTTTGAAATCAATAGGTTGTAGGATGAATCTTTATTCATTACTGATACATGTTCTCCGTTATCGAATAAGATTTCTTTTTGTGATATTCGATAATTCTTGATTTGCTGTACGACTGTTTTTTTAATTTTCATTTAAGAGTTCGGGAAAAGAATTGTGAAACAGAATTTCGAACTTTACGAAGCACTTGAAGAGTTCACTTGTGAAGGAGAAATTCTTGCCAGCTATACCACCAGCTGCCACGGAAAATAAAGATGGTTCAAGATAAAGTCAGCCTGAGACACTTTCAATAGTTTATGACTTTAAAAGCAAACAAATTAATCAGTCCTAGACGGAATTAAGATATTCAAGAAAGTACGGTCTTATTAAAAGAAGCGGTTTCAATTAGTCACTCGGTGCAGTTGGACTTTTACGGGTTTTTGTACAGCTAATGATGAGGGTGAAGATGTATGAAGTTCGTCTCATGTTTACTTAAAGATTATCTAGAATGATAAGAGTCGCCAGGCTGATCTTGAGGACTCTACTCCACCTCTGCCCCCCCACCCCCTTCCCCCCCATGTCTGCTCTTCCCCCACTCTCCTCGCTCCTCACTTCTTTCGCCTTTATTTGTTTCTTCGTTTCTTCTCTCTCCTTTCTTTTTTTTCTCTCTTATTTTATCCTCTTTCTTCTTTTTTTCACTCTCACTCTTCTCTCTTCTTTCCCCTCTCTGTTCTTGCTCTCTTTTCTTTCCCCTCTCTACCCTCTCTTTTCCCGTCTTTCCTCCCTCTCCTCTCCTCACCTATCTCCTCTCCTCTCCTCTCCTCGTTCCACTCCCCCCCCCCCCCCCCATGAACCAAACCATCTATCCTCCCCCTTCCCCACCTGCTAACTCCCCACCCAAACCCCATGCGCTCCGTAGCACATACCCCCCAACACTCACCCCTATGCCCACCCCCTCCCTATCTCCACCCCCTCCCCTTCACCCTTAACCCCCCCCACCCCCCACTCCCCACCCCCTCCTCATTGCCTTCAGAAACCCGGCCTTCAGTATCCATTGTCCGTAAATCAATTATCAGTATTTTGAATCCCGTTCCTCTATTGTAACTATTGTATTTTATTGGAATTTATTGGAATTCTTTAAATATAAAAAAATATGTTAATTTTATTGCTTATTTGGTTATTGGTATTTGCTTCGTGTTGTAACCTTGTATTCATTATCTCTGTCTGTACCCACTTGCCTCATTCAATGCCATTCTTATATATATTTTTTTCAAATGTATTTTCTTCTTCTTTTTTATTGTATTTTACTATTTTCTTTTCGTTGTCGACATTCGTTACTTTGTCTATACTTATAGGTTCCTCTTTTAGAAAGTTTCCTTTTTTTTTTTTTTTTTTTTTTTTTTGCTTACCCAGGATTTGTAAGTTTTCTAAAATTTGGATTTTTTTCCCCTCTGCTTTGCTTTAAAGCTAGATTTCCGAAATTCGCTGTCTTAGTTTAATTTGTTTGCTCTATATATATTTTGTCGGTGTGCCGCTTTTTTCTTTAATTTCTGTATGATTTATAAGGCACTTATTTAATTACTTGTTTTATCTCTTGTTTTCAACAATGTCATTAAAATGTCTACTCTATCGCCGAAGCTTATGTAACTAAGATGAAAGGAAAACAGCCACAGTAAGAAATGAAAATGAATCGTAACGTTTCGAAATGGATCGGTTTATAATCCGAAGCGTTAAGATTCATACTCATTTCTTACTGTGGTTGTTTTCCTTTTCATCTTTGTGGACACGTTACTGTGATTTGTCTTAATTATGTAACTAATTTTCAGATAATGAATGCGTATGATATTTATATGCTTGTACGGTGGAAAATGTTCTAATGAGATATAAGATAGACTCAAGCTTACTCATCATTTTTACTCACATACTTAGGTTTATTCATCATATTTACTCATCAATTCACGACGTCTCAGATCTATAAAGACATATTCGGGTTTATTCATCATTTTGACTCACGCCATTTCCCATATTTTCTTGTCTGTTACACTCACGCCCCCTCATATTTTCCTAACTCGCCGCTATACTCACACCCCCTCATATATTTTCCTCGCCGTTATACTCACGCCCCCTCATATATTTTCCTCACTCGCCTTTATACTCACACCCCTTCCTATCCACAAAATTAGACTCAGATTTATTCATCCTCTCTTAAAAAAAAACAAAAAAACTCACACTGCGTCATATTTTTTCTTCCCTCGCAGTTATACTCTCCGGAACTGGAAGGCGACAGGTACAGCGGGGGTCGCGGCCAGCCCCTGGAGATGTTCAGCATGGACTTCCATTACGAGAGTGCGAA